AGGCAGTCGCTTAACCAACTGAGCCACCCAGGCGCCCAAAACCTCCTGATTTTTAAATGCTCCAAAATAAAGAAAAAAGAATCAAAACACTGAACTGGGCAAACAAAATCACTTGTGGGCTAGATTTAGTCTGTACTGTTCAGTTAGCAAGTGGGTATTCAGAACCTAGTGAGGGGACAAGGGTAGAAAGAGGCAGCTCTGTCCTCAGGTTACTTAAAGCATAAGGGTGGGTGACACCAGCATGTCAAGACTGAAAAAAGACAAAATTAGCAAGCAGACTATTCATATGTGAACAATCATGTCATCCTCAGAATCTACTGTGTGCAAAGGTTTAGCTCTGGGAGGCAAAGGAAATTCTAAAGTTCTTATCCTGCAGGAGGGAATAGGGACTTCCTGTCTAGTAAAGGGAGCCAGTTCATTACACGAGAGCCACCCCCCCCCCAAACTGAGATCCAGAAAAGAGAAGGAGTGTTCAGCCAAGAACAGAATGAGGGACCCAAGTGCAGGTTGGTGCTGATGGAGGATTCCTTATGCCTGAGAGGGTGGATGGGGAGGAGTTTGAAGCAGGCTGAGAAGAAAGGATGGGATGCCTTGTCATGCACTGATGAAAAACACTGACTAATACACATTTGCATAGAAAAACATTCATTTGGGCTATTCCAAACCTTTATGTCATGCATTCTCAATGGGGGGGTGGGGGGGAGCAATATAAATCCCAAGGGGGTAAAATTTATTCTTTTTTTAAAGATTTATTTATTTATTTTAGAGAGAGTGCATGTGCATGCATGAGTGGGGGAGAGTTAGGGGAGGGGGAGAGAGAGAATCTCAAGTAGACTCTCTCCTGAGCACAGAGCCTGACAGAAGGCTTGATTCCAGGACCCTGAGATCATGACTTGAGCTGAAACCAAGAGTGGGATGCTTAACTTACTGAGTCACCTGGTGCCCCGGTAAAATTTATTCTTGAAAGGCGAGAAAAGTCTTCCTCTTTTTATATATAAACATCTGATACACATATGTAAGCAGATACACAGTATAGCTGTAGTATTAAAATTTCATGGGTGGAGGATAATTGGAAAGAAATATCTAAAAAGACTCCTTAGGGGGCAAATAATGAAAAAAAGATTGATAAACACATCCCTACCCCAATGCAAGTGGAGCTAATAATGCCAAGCAAATTTTGAGTGTTTCCTATGCCCTGGAGACCTCTGCCAAGCACTTTACTTTTATTGTCTTGTTTAAATCTGAACAACCACCTTTCATACAGCCACTACTGCTCTCCCTATTTATAGATGGGAAAACTGAGGCTCAGAGGCACAGTGCCCAAGATTATCTCACTGTTATATTGAAAGAACCAGTCTCTCTGACCCAAAGCCTGACTCTTACTTATCCTGTATTATTGCTGGGTAGGATCAGGGCAAATGCAAAAAGATTCCTGACCACTTATGCTTGCTTGCTTGCTTGCTTTTTCTTTCTTTCTTTTCTTTCTTTCTTTCTTTCTTTCTTTCTTTCTTTCTTTCTTTCTTTCTTTCTTTTTTAAAGATTTTATTTATTTATTTGACACAGAGAGAGAAAGCACAAGTAGGCAGAGCGGTAGGCAGACAGAGAGAGAGAAGCAGGCTCTCTTGAGCAGGGAGTCAGACGTGGGGCTTGATCCCAGGACCCGGGGATCATGACCTGAGCCGGAGGCAGCCGCTTAACGGACTGAGCCACCCAGGTGCCCCTATTTATTTATTTTTTTAAAAATTATTTATTTATTTATTTATTTGAGAGAGAGAGAGAGAGCAGAGCGTGCAAGAGAGAACACGAGTCGGGGGGAGGGGCAGAGGGAGAGGGAGAAGCAAACTCCCACTGAGCCGGGAGCCTGATGTGGGGCTCGATCCCAGAACCCTGGGATCATGACCTGAGCTGAAGGCAGATGCTTAACCAACTGAGCCACCTAGGTGCCCCTGACTACTTATGCTTAAAAAAAAAAAGTAGGGGCGCCTGGGTGGCTCATTCGTTAAGCATCTGCCTTTGGCTCAGGTCATGGTCCCAGGGTCCTGGGATTGAGCCCCGTGTCAGGCTCTCTGGTCAGTGGGAGGTCTGCTTCTCCCTCTCCCACTCCCCCTGCTTGTGTTCCCTCTCGCTGTGTCTCTCTCTGTCAAATAAATAAAATCTTTAAAAAAAAAAAAAGTAGTTGAGTATGACTTCTTTTTCTGGACTCCTTTGTAGGACCAGGGTTGTAGCCCTTAGCAATCACTTGTCCATACTATGCCGTCATTATAGATGATGCCCTCATTAAGAACCTATCTTCATCCATGTATTCTTTAAAGCTCTAGGTGATTTTCCTAGTGTCACAGTGCCTGGTCACAGTAGGTACGAAAGCAGTGCTAACTGAATTAATAGCAACAGTATTGGTAAGGATGTATCAGTTAGCTATTGCCACAGTAATGCTGCATAACAAACAGATGCAGAAAACCGGTGTTGTACAATAAAGAAGCATTTATTTCTCACTCACACATGTTCAGGTTTGCTTGGAGTTTGATTGAACTAGGCTGGGTGTGGCTGTGCTTGACTCCAGGTCATGGGTTCTGTGTCTAGAGCCTAGTGTCCTTCTTCTTGAAGCAGGGAGCCACTTGGGGGCATTGTTGTTCCATGACATAAGCTGGAAGTGCTCGAAGTGACAAGCAAAAACACACAGTGTGTCTAAGGTTTTGACATGGACCTGGCATACGGTCACTTCTGCCATGTTCCATTGATCAAAGTCACATGACCAAGCCCAACTTCAGGGGAGGTGTCCAGGGAATGGTGGTGTGATATATGCTGAATAACAATGGATCTACCACAATAGTTAATATTTAGCAATAGTTTACTATGTTCCAGGATTACGTTAAGCACTTTGCATGTGTTAACTGATGTGATACCCTCAACAATGCCATGTGAAGCTCCCATCATTATTCCTGTTTTACAGACTACGATATTGTAGCTCAGAGAGGTTAGGTAACATGCTGGAGGGCATCAGCCAGTAACAAAGCTGGGAACTGATACCCAGCAAGAAGTTCAGAACTTCCTGCAATGTAATTTTGTGCATTGTTCACATCAAACTGTGTTCCATTTTCTCTGTCACGGAGTTTAGCTTTTAATGTTTACTGTGGGTTGAATAAAAATATACTGAAATATGACACTGTTGTGTAGATGCTGAGAGTAGACTCTGTCCCTAAGAAAATCATGCCATCTTTCAAATTTATTCATGCGTTATCATAACATGTTAGAAATAGAAGGAACTTCTATGATCATCTAGACAAGTTTCTTTTTTTTTTTTGTCTTAATTTTTTTTAGAACAGGGTTAGGTTCACAGTAAAATTGAGGGAAGGGAAGGTACAGAGATTTTCCACAGAACTCCTTTCCCCACATAGCAAAGACTCTCCCATTATCAACATCTGGCCCCAGGATGATACATGTCTTATAATTGATGCACCTACACCAACACATCATTATCATCTCTAGTCCATAGTTAACATCAGGGTTCACTCTTGGTGCTATAAATTCTGAGTTTGAACAAATGTGTAATAACATGTAACACCCTTATGGTATCATACAGAATAGTTTCAGTGCCCTAAACATCCTCTGGTCTGCCTATTTATCTCAACCTCCTAGACAAGTATTTCTTAAACTCGAGTTGTAGCCCATTAACAAGTTGTGAAATTAATTCTGAAAAATGAGATAGAAAAGAATGGAATAGGGGGCACCTGGGTGGCTCAGTCGGTTAAGCATCTGACTCTTGATTTCAGCTCAGGTCTTGATCTCAGGGTCATGAGTTCAAGTCCTGCATTGAGCTGCTGGGCGTGGAGCATACCTAAAAAAAAAAAAAGGGAATGGAATAGAATAAGAATAGATCGGAGTGCCTCTTATGTAGTCAAGCAAAGTATTGTTTGGTGAAACTCGTTTTTCAGTTACATATGTGTAGGTATGTCCAGGATCTTAATGTAATAATTTTAAAAATTTTATCAAGTTTTAAATTTTAATTCCGGTATAGTTAACATACAGTGTTATATTAGTTTCAGGTGTACAATATAGTGATTCAGCAATTCCATACATTACCCAGTGCTCATCGTGGTAAATGTACTCTTAATTCCCATCACCTATTTCACCCATCCCCCCACCCCACCTCCCCTCTGGTAACCATCAGTGTGTTCTCTATAGTTGAGTTTGTTTCTTAGTTTGTCTCTCTCTTTAATTTCCCTTTGCTTGTTTGTTTCTTAAATTCCACATATGAGTGAGATCATATGGTATTTATCTTTCTCTGATTTATTTCGCTTAGCATTATATCCTCTAGCTCCATCCATGTCATTGCAAATGGCAAGATTTCATTGTTTTTATGGCTGAGTAATATTCCCTTGTAACAATTATTTTTAACCATGGCTTATACTTAAATGAAAACCATCGATTGAAGCTGTTTGTGCTTAATAACATTGTTTCCATATTTATGACCTACTTTCCACCCAAGCACTCAATCATTAGTCTGTTAGGACCTCAAGGTCAAGGTCGGGGTCTTTCTGACCATTATGTGCTTAGTAATGTCTAGTATGGTGGGATTAATTGGTGATGTGTCCTAACTCTTCGTTCCAGTGAACCCTGCTTATGTGGGTGAAAGTAGCCCCCGCCCAGCTTATGGAAACCCACCATTGTCTGGATGCGACTGGCACGAGTCACCCCAAGGTAAGGCTTAAATTGGTGGTATCCCAAAAAAATCAACCCTAGAGAGGAATGTTTTCAAGGCAATGCAGACATCACTATTTCATTTAGGCTTCCGGTGTGGTAACTGATGTAGTACTTGCTTAATTTACCATAACGGGGGTTTTCTTTTAGGTATGCAGGGTTTTTTTCTCTCCTGGATATCAAGGTGTCTTCATCAGGACTCTTCTGGTCTCATGTGCCAGAAACCCAACTCATGTGGGCCCAAGGTGAATGTACTGGCTCACGTGGTGGGAAGGACAGGGGGGAAGCAAAGAGTTGAAGGTAGAATTACCTTGCAGGACTTAGTACAGAGCTTGACACATAGTAGATGCTCAGAGATATTTGTTGAATTAATTTGTGAATGAGTTACAGGAACAAGGGCCTCTGAGTCTGCATTGATCAACATTTTTCTGAATAATCATAGAATTATTATGATGCTGGAGTTTAGGAGAAGTCAGACCAGAGAAAGACAGAATGCTGGGAAATCAGTTAGGAAGCCCTGTAAGGATCACTGTGTGTGGTGGTGAAGGTCTGATCAGAGGCAGAGACTGAGAGATAAAAAGGAAGCAAAAGAGGAGAGAGGCCAGGGAATGCTGAAACTTGGAGGCAAATCTATGGACAACAAAGAGTAAACCAACTGATGGTATTCTCTATACAATAATGCAAATTGAAGGGCCTCATGACCTAAAACCATGTCTCACCTTCTGGCATTCTAGCTGATATGACAGCCTTTAGCCTCATTTTTTTTTTTTTTAAGTTTTATTTATTTATTTGAGAGAGAGAGAGCAGGAGTAGGGGCAGGGGGAGAGAGAGAATCTCAAGCAAACTCTACACTGAGCACAGAGCCCGACATGGGCCTTGATCCCACGACCCTGAGATCATGACCTGAGCTGAAATCAAGAGTCGAAGGCTTAACTGACTGAGCCACACAGGCGCCCCTAGCCTCATTCTTTAAGAGCCTTCTCAAGAAGAGGTATAACTTCAGGGCGCCTGGGTGGCTCAGTCGGTTAAGCGACTGCCTTCGGCTCAGGTCATGATCCCAGGGTCCTGGGATCGAGCCCCGCATCGGGCTCCCTGCTCGACGGGAAGTCTCCTTCTCCCTCTCACACTCCCCCTGCTTGTGTTCCCTCTCTCGCTGTGTCTCTCTCTGTCAAATAAATAAATAAAATCTTAAAAAAAAAAAAAAAGGAGAGGTATAACTTCTACAAGGGTTGGGTATTGCTACTTGGGAGGGAAAACCATGGAGGTATAAATGATCACCCTCTCTATTTGGTTCCCACTAGAGCAGAAAATGACTTTAACTATTGAGGAAAGAAAATGGCTTTTAACTTCATTGGACTGCTTAATCTAGCCAGCCTGAGGTTGGGGCTTCTGGTGAAAGGGAGTCCCAGAAGGCAGAGAGAATTAAGGAAATAGAGGACCCAGAGATGAATCTGGTTTTCTTCACCATTTTGTTTTGCAATGGTTTGGATTCTCAAACCATGTACAGTTAGATGGTGGACAGCCTCCTGATAAAACGTCACTTTGATGGATTATGCTATGCAGCTATGAAGCATTTGGCACATGGTAGGTACTCATAAATATTCATTTATTTGTGAATGAATAAATGATACATCAGCATCTCATTAGAGAAAGGGGCCAGGGTGAAGGGATTAAGAGGCCCTTCTTTGGGTCCAGACAGACCTGGGTTTAAGTCTCAGCTCTCCTACTTGCTGGTTTTGTGACTTTAGGCAAATAACCTTTTTGGGCCTCAGTTTTCTTAGCTATAAAATGGGGGTTATTGTACATAATGCATAGGGTGATTATGAAAATTAAATTATATAATCTAAAGTACTTGGCCTATAGTAATGACAGGTATTATTACTGTTAATTATCATTGATGGGGATAAGGAGGAGAGTCCTGGTCCAATTCTGCCATTTTATGAGAGTGTGATGAGAGTAGAGGTCAGTTTATTTTTGTGCACCTCAGTTTCCCCAACTATTAAATAAATGACGTGGCTGAGGTGATTTCCAAATCATGTCTGTTGGGTGGGAATTGTGTTCAGGTGCCTGGCACTGAAGTCGGACGGCTTCACAATAAAGGGATTTATTTTTCTTATGTAACAAGAAGTGTTGTGGGAGGGGGTTCACAGTTTGTATGGCAGCTCTGCCCAGGATGCTCTCAGGACTGAGCTCCTTCTTAGCTTCTTTCTCCACCGTTCTTCACAGCTGAACGTGTATCCTCTTGTTTTCAAAATGGCAGCCTCTGGTAAGCCAGAAGGAGAAATGGTGAAGGGCAAAAAGCGGAACCGGGCAGACTGTCACCTTTTAAAAAGGATTCTTGGACGCTCTATGTCTCATTGACCAGAATGGTGGGGTTACAAGTCCATCTTTAGCGACAAAGGAAGCTAGGAGAATTTTAGTTGAGCCCAGTGCCTACACAGGAAAGGAAGCTTCTGGGGCTATGAGAAAAATGGAGATCGGATACAGGGTACAGACAAGTGGTAGGGTTGGCTACCCAAGGCAGTCAGGAGATAATAATTGTTATTACTATAAACCCGTCTGGGTTTATATAGGCATGTAAAATTATAAATATAAAATATAAGTTTTAGGCCAGGGGCACCAAATTAAAAAGGAAAATCTTGCCCTTTGGTTATGAGTCATTTAGAAGAATCCCTGCCTTCTGTTTCTAGAACCCTATTGTCTTTAATGAAGGATTCTGTTTCCAATGTCTTACCTAGCTACCAAGACAGAGGTGTCTGTAGGAAAACACATCTCTTCATGAAGAGACCCCTCTGGTGTAGATGTGGGGAGTTATGTTGTGATTTGTGTAGGGCTGGCTTTGGCAATCTCATCCTGGTCTTTAAAAAAATGTGAATGGGGCATCCCTCTGTGATTGTCATCACTTTTCCTGGCGGCTCCCAACAATGTCAGTGTGACTGCTCTGGAAGGCCACTCCGGTGGAGAACAAAGCTGGGAGGAGGCAAGAGATGCTGTCTGATGACCAAGTGAATGAAATCATCGTTGAGGTTGAGAATGTTCCATCTGGGGTTGTTCCAGAAAAGATGCTGGTGATCTCAAGCTTCGGCATGGTCTCATCCGCTTCTGACATCGATGTGACAGACTCTCAGAGTTTCAGCAGCCCGAATGACAAAAAGAGCAAGCAGTTGTTGCGGTTTTCAACATCTTTGAATGAATCATTTTCTCAGACCCTTCATAGCCCAGGAAGTGTGGGCATAGACACTCCTTGTACTTCACATGAAAACCTCCAAGGTAGTGAGACCCTGGGAGAAAGGAGTTAGGAAGGGAGCAAGGAAGGCTTCCAACTTGTCTACAGGATTATTTAGTTTTTTTTTTTTTTTAAAGATTTTATTTATTTATTTGAGAGAGAGAGAATGAGAGAGAGCACATGAGAGGGGGGAGGGTCAGAGGGAGAAGCAGACTCCCTGCTGAGCAGGGAGCCCGATGCGGGACTCGATCTGGGATTCCAGGATCATGACCTGAGCCGAAGGCAGTCGCTTAACCAACTGAGCCACCCAGGTGCCCCAGGATTATTTAGTTTTAAGACATCAAGTAGGTTGAAGTTTATAGATGATCTGAGGATGTGACAGACCCAGGAAGGGGTCACTTTGGGAGCACCTAACACCTAGAAAGGAGTTCACCTTGATCAAGCTCACTTTCTGTGCCCAACACTCTGCTGAATACTTCCTTTTTGTTATCCATTGAATATAGTTTGACTTTATTCCCCACACTTTGAGGTAGGCACATTTGTCACTTCCATTTGCTTGGTGAGTAAATTAAATTAAATTAAATCACTTCCATTTGCTTGGTAAGCCTTGGCAGAACTAGGGCTCAAATGCAGGTCTGCCTGGTTTCCAAGCCCGATGCTTTCACCGCTGTCTTGCTTTGGTCCAGTTCCTCCCCCACCCTGGATTCGGCAACATAGAATGGCCTTTATTGCCAAGTCTGCCATGAAACCAGGTCTTGGCTGACACTGCCTCCCTGCCTTTCTGTTCCTGAGGCCAAACCCTGGGTTCTTGACTGCTGTTTCTATGTCATCCCATCATACTCCAGACATCAAGTCCAGCCTCAGTGATGTCTAGGAGGGAAAAAAATCCATTCACACTAAAGCATTCTGTGGGTTTAACCCCTTTATTAAAGATTGGGGTGTCTCCTCTCATGCTACTGTCTCCCCACATCTCTGTGTTCTTTCCTCCTCCTCTTTGTCCTTTCTTCTTCTCTGTTGAGCCACCCTTCCCTCTCAGGAGAGACACAAATTTCTCGTCTTCAGCAGAGTGAGTTTGGTGACCCTCTTTTGGGGATTTCCTTTTCACCTCAACTAGGTCAAATGAAGAGTTCAGCTCAATAACTCAACCAGGGAGCCAGCCCACTCCCTCTGTTGTTGCCCTGGTCAGCCCCCTGGTTGGCTTCCTCATCGTTACAAGATGGTGATCGCAGTTCCAGGCTTCAGATGTGGCCACAACAACATCCAGAGGGAGATGGATCTTTTTCTTGGAGTTTTTGTGGGGGTTTTTTAGTTTTTCTTTTTTGAGAAGGAAGAAACCTTTTCCAAGAAACTCCTCAGCAGATCACCCATCACAGAACATTGGCCAGCATCTTGTCACATGCTTATGCCTAAATCAGTCACCTGCAAGGATCAGCTTGGACTCATGGGGCTCACCCCCTGTGCCTGAAGATGGGTCCTACCCTGCAGAAGTTCAGGGCCTTGGGAAAGAGGGGGTAGATTCCTAAACAAAATCAGGATTCTATTAAAAAGAAGAAATGACTGGGGTAGGTGACCCACAATATCTGCCATGCTGAGTGAAGATGTGAATATGAGTTATCGGGAGAAGATGGGGGACCATTCCAGGGGCCAGAAGAGCATACGACAACAGTCAAGAAATGTAAAGAAGGTGCCTGGGCCTGGAGTGTGGGGGTCAAGTGAAAGTGCTTCGGACATTCAAGTACGAGAGGAGAGCAAGCCTGACCAGACGTGCAAGGGCTTGTGGCTTCACTGAATGCTTCTTGTCATAGAAAAAAGAAAAATATCAAATTGGAATTGCATGCAAACATTATCATTTGCTTTGGCTTTGAGGTTAAAAAAAAAATACACCACATTGGGGTGCCCGAGTGGCTCAGTCAGTTAAGTGTCCAACTCTTGATCTCAGCTCAGGTCTTGATCTTGGGGTTGTGAGTTCAAGCCCTGCGTTGGGCTCCATGCTGGTCATGGAGCCTACTTAAAAAAAACAACAACAAACCATGTTGTCTTGTTTTCACTTGTGGCTTGGGGATCACTGAGTCCATGTATTTATTCTTCTTTCCTTGTACTCTTATAAAAACACGCTCAGGGGCACCTGGGTGGCTCAGTCTGTTAAGTGTGTGCCTTCAGCTCAGGTCATGACCCCAGAGTCCCAGGATTGAGCCCCACATCCTGTTTCGGGCTCAATGGAGAGTCTGCTTCTCCCTCTGCCCCTTCTCCAACTCTTGCGCTTGCACGCTCACTTGCTCTCTTTCAAATAAATAAATAAATAAAATTTATAAAAAATAAACATGCTTGAAGTTCAGTGCCATACTTTAAAATGCTGATATTCTGTGAAAGGAAACAAAATTAAACTCAATTTATTTTCCTCCACAGGACAAAAGTTAATCGCATCTCTGATACCAATGACATCTAGAGACAGAATTAAAGCCATCAGGACTCAGCCAAGAACCATGGAAGAGAAAAGGAACCTTAAGTATGGACCCAAAGCTTTTCTTCTTTCTCAGATTTCACATGAATTTCAGTCTTCTACTTTGTCCCATCTCAGAAAGATAAAAAATGGGGGTGCCTGGGTGGTGCAGTCAGTTGGGTGTCGAGCTCCTGGTTTTGGCTCAGGTTGTGATCTCAGTATTGTGAGATTGAGCCCCACGTCAGGCTCTGCACTCAGTGTGGAGTCTGCTTGAGATTCTCTCCCTCTCCCTCTGCTCCTCCCACTCGGACTCTCTCTATCGAATAAATAAATCTTAAAGAAAAAAAAAGAAATATATAAATGCAAAAGAAGGGACAATCTTCCTATAGAAGAATTCCAAATAATCTATATAGATGTTCCTCTCTCTTCTCACCTGGAGTGTGGGCTGTGCTTAGTGATGTGCTTTCAAAGGGTGGAGCATGGGAACTGAGGGAGAGTGACTTTCCAGTGATGTGGTCTAGCCAACACTCCCTTGGCCAGGTGATCAAGGTTAGCATCCCCAGAGATATGTGATTAGAAGAGCACATCCACTCTGTTGTACTGTCTCCTAAAGACCATAACCCCAGTATTCCCAGAGAAAAAAATCAGGCAAACCCCAGTGGAGGGACATTCTACAAAATACCTGACCAGTACTCCTCAAAATTGTCAAGGTCATCAGAAATAAAGGAAGTCAGAAAAATTGTCACAGACTAGAGGATTCGAAAGAGACATAAAAACTAAATAGAATGTGGGAGGGGGTACTGGAATAGAACATGGCATTAGTGGAAGAACGAGTGAAATCAGAATAGTGTGGAGTTTAGGTACTGGTATATGTGCTAATGTTGATTTTTTAGTTTCGACAACTACCATGGAAATGTCAGATGTTGGGGTGCTTGGGTGGCTCAGTAGCCTGGGTGTCCAACTCTTGATTTCAGCTCAGGCTGTGGTCTCAGGGTCGTGAGATTGAGCCTCACGTTGGGCTCCGCACTGAACATGGAACCTGCTTAAGGTTCTCTCTCTCCCTCTCCCTCTGCTACTCCCCCATCCCTCTCTAATAAATAAATAAATAAATAAATAAATAAATGTATGTAAGATGTTAATAGGAAAAAATAATGGTGAGTAGTGTATAGGAATTTTCTGTACTGTTTTTGTAACTTTTTTGTAAATCTCAAATTACTCTAAAATTCAAAGTTTACTGGAAAGAAAAAAAGAAAGAAGTCCTCAGAAGCTTTCTAACGGCAGGAACTAAAAAAAAAAAAACAGTGAAAGAATGACGGCTGTTTTAGCCATCAGACTTCACATTTACTGTTCCTCATCCTTTTTCTTTTGCAATTTGTACCCTTGGAAACTAGTGGAGTGGATGCAACAACGGCTAATAAATAATTCAACGATGCAATTGTTCTGGGGCTGCAAAGATAACTTACAAAGTCTGACAGGGGAGTTGGATTTGTCAATAAGTAACTTACACATGAGAAAAAGGAAATCAGGCCAAATTAAGGTAGAGGAGACTGCAGTGACAGGACTAGCTGGAGTGATACAGTCTACTTGGGTAAAGCAGGAGGGCATGTGAGCTGAGCCTTGGAAGACCGTGATGTGGGGGTGGGCGTTTGGATGGACAAAGAAAACCAGAAAAGAACCAGAGCAGGGTAGATGCAATGAATTCATGGAAAGGTAAAGAACCCAATTGTGGCTGGATCTTTCTGAAAACACTTTTCCATTTCAAACTGCATGGCTGCCTCTGTCACAGGATAAGGGCCTTATAGGGGCCCCAGAGACTTTACAGCAGGATTTTTCAACCCCGGTATGCCTGATATTGGGGGCTGGATCATTCTCTGTTGTGGGGTTCTGTCCAGTTCATTGTAGGGGGTTTTAGCACATCCCTGCCTTCTACCCACTAGATGTTAGTAGCAAGCCTCTCTCCCCCAGAGTTTGACAACCAAAAATGTCTCCTGACATTGCCAAATGTCCCTTGGGGGGCAAAATCTCCCCAGGTTGAGGACCACTGACTTATAGGACCCTTCGTTATCACTCAAACTCTCCTCCCTTCCCCCTGCTCATTCCATTCTAGCCATCCCAGCCTCCTTGGGGTCCCAGGTTGGCTGTTCCCTATGGACACAACAATCCCTTATCCATACTACTAACCCCTCCCTTCCTAAAGGACTTTGCTTGAATATTGTGCTATTTCAAATTATAGCACAGTCCCCATTCCAGCATTTCCCATTTCCTTACCTTGCTCTATTTTCCTTTTCCTTTTCCATAGTACACCTTTTATTTATTGTTTATTGTCTTTCTCTCCCAACTGGTAGAGATGTCTGCTCCATGAGCCGGGGAAATCATTTTCTTTTGTCTTGCTACCCGGGCACTGCCTAGCACATCATAGTCACTCAGTAAATATTTTGGGAACGAAATCATTACAGCATGGGTGTCTCTCCCTTTCTTCTGCCGTTCCCCACAGGAAAATGGTTGACAAAGAGAAAAGTAAGCAGTCCCGTCGTATGCTTGAGCTCAACTGCTGTACTCAGTGTCTAAACTCCATTTCACGGGTAAGAGGCCTCTACTGCAGTCAATAAAATGGGCATAACAAGAGAGTAAAAACAGGGAGGTGGCAGAGTGGGAATGAAAGGGACCCAAGGGGAAGAGAAAGCAAAATTCAGGGCTTTTTCATTGAAAGCTTTAGAAATTGGGTCAGTCTAGGTGCAGAGAAACCAGGTAGGGATGCAAAAGTCTAAGAGGTTGCTGAGTTATTTGGACAGCTGAGCTACTGTGAGTGTCACCTTCGACAGCAAACCTGGGGAGGTAATAATAGCACTCACCTTAAAGAGTGGTCCCGCAGATTAAATAAGATAACATTTACAAACATGCTTAGCGCATGCCTGGCATGTTATAATGCTCTAGACACAGTGGTTGTTTTTGCTCTTAGGGGACCTGCTCAGTAGGTGTTTGTTGAGGGAATGTTAAGCCTCATGCTTGGTGTCCCTACCCCAGGCGTACCGGAGATCTAAGAACAGCCTGTCAGAACTGTTCGATTCCGTCAGCCTATGGCAGAAGACGCTCAAGGTCATCGGAGGCAAGTTCGGAACCAGCGTCCTCTCCTATTTTAACTTTCTGAGGTGGCTTTTGAAGTTCAACATTTTCTCGTTCATTGTGACCTTCAGCTTTATCATAATCCCTCAGTTTACGGTGGCCGAGAAGAACACCCTCCAGTTCACTGGACTGGAGTTTTTCACTGGGGTGGTAAGTCCTTCATTTTGCCTACCCGGAGTTCACCAGCTGGGAATCCCCCGGACTTACGTTGCCAGTCACCCTTCCAGACCTCTCACTTTGCCTGGGAGTTAGATGATAGGGGGAGTGGGGCTTTACTTATTTATTTGTTTATTTTAAAGATTTATTTATTTATTTGAGAGAGAGAAAGAATGAGAGAGAAGGGGGGGAGAAGCTGAGGGAGAGAGAGAATCTCAAGCAGACTCCCTGCTGAGCACAGAGCCTGACATGGAACTTGATCCCAGGACCCTGAGATCATGACCTGAGCTGAAATCAAGAATCAGACGCTTAACCGACTGAGCCACCCAGGTGCCCTGAAAGTGGGGCTTTAAAACGTTTCTTTTTCTCCCCCAAAGTGACATGCACACAACACAGTAGACTTTCTGTCTTTAGAGGTGACCATATTAATAGTTTGTGTTGTTCACGATCTCTTTTTCTGTGCACATATGGACACACACACATGCACATACACACACATGTACATATGCATCCCTTTCTTTTGTTTTTTTAACAAAAGATGAATTATTCATATATACCACCTATGACTTGCTTTCTTTCACCCGCTCTGTGGTGGACTTGTCATATTGGTGTTCATAGAGCTACCTTTTCTTTCTTATTTTTCTTTCCACAATATACAGTGCTCCTTTTGAAAAGTTCCTACTGTAGAAGAGAGCAAACTAAGTGAAAGTCCATGTTAGCCTTTTTCCCTTGTCTAATGCCCCAGCTCAGAGCATATCTTTGTCCACTGTTTTCTTTCTATATGCAGTTAGATACTTAGGTCGATACGTAGGTAGATAGGTAAACATTTAAAAAATAATAATAAAAAGATGGGCCATCTGGGTGGCTCAGTTGGTTAAGCATCTGCCTTTGGCTCAGGTCATGATCTCAGGGTCCTGGGATCGAATCCTGCATCAGGCTCCCTGCTCAGCAGGGAGTTTGCTTCTCCCTCTGCCCCTTCGCCCTCTTGTGCTCTCTCTCTCTCTCAAATAAATAAATAAAATCTTTAAAAAAATAATTAAAAAAAACCCAGGATACTACAGGTCTTCCTTTGCAACATTTTTTGCTTCACTATGTATCTTGAGCGTCTATATAGATCTGCAGTATCCTTTTTCATTACCCAGCTCCCTACTGAGAGACATATGGCCCCCGTCTTGTGAGTTTACCTTCCAGAAGACATTCCTGCCATTGGGATTCTATAGGCCAGGGATTGATAAACGACAGCCGGGGCCAAATCTGGCATGCCACCTGTTTCTACATTTTTAAATGGTTGAAAAAAAAAATCAAAACAAGGATAACATTTTGTGAAACATGAAAATTATACGTGAAGTTAAACTTTGTGCCCATAAATAAAGTCCTTTTGGAACATGGCCACATCCCTTTGTTTATGTGTCTATGATGCCTTCCTGCTATGGTGGCTGAGTGGAGTTGTGGCTGTAGCTACCAAGCCAAAGAGATTTACTGTCTAGCTCTTTACAGAAAAAATTTGCTGACTCTTGAAGTAGAATGTTCAAAGTCAGGTTCTTCCATTTATCTTTTTAATTTCTTTTTCTGTTAAAAATTTTTCCTTGGGATAGCTGCATTGAAGTGGAATTATTGTGTACATTTCATCTTCATTTTTCTCCTCGTTATGATGTGTGTGTGTGTGTGTGTGTGTATATATATATATATATTTTTTTTTAAGTGGGCTCCATGCCTAGCATGGAACTCACAGGGCTTGAACTCACAACCGTGAGAATCAAGACCTCTGCTGAGATCAAAGTTAGACACTTAACCGACTGAGCCACCCAGGCGCCCCTGATGTATATTTTTTATATTTGTATATATGAAACATTTTATTATGAAAAATTTCAAACATATAGGAAAATAAAGAGTAGTAAGTAAACATTCATATACCCACTACATAGGTTTTTAAATTATTAATATCTTGCCATATTGTTTTATCTTATTAGTTTTTGGAAGCATTTTACAGTAAATTACAGACATCAGGATATTTTACTCCGAATTTCTTCAACATGCATCTCTGAAAAATAAGGACACTTTCTGCAGTTCTTACATCTAGCAAAATTAAAAATTAATATTATCTAAAATCCAAACCATATTCAAATTTTCCAGTTGTCCCCAAAATGTCTTTCCTAGCTTGCTCATTCAGACCAGAATCTAGTTAAGGCCCATACTTTGCATTTGCTTGTGTTTTCTCTGAATTCTCAATTAATCTAGAATGATCTCTCCATACACAGCCCCCTTTTTTCTTGACATTGTTGCAGAAACCAGGCCAGTTGTCATGCAGACACCAATGTCCTACCTTCTGGAATTGTCTGATTATTTCCTTATGGTCTGTCTGATTTGTTACTCTGACCCATTATTTCCCATAAATTGAAATTTAGACCTAATGGCTTGATTCCTTTCCTATTGAACATGTTTGACTATAATACTTAACAGATGACAGAGGCCCATAATGGCTGGCTTTTCTGGTTTTAGTCATGCTTTGCTTGATCGCTGTTTCAGGTGGTGACAGTTGGGTTCCTCCATTGTAAGGAGGGTTTGAGAGCCCTTTCCAACTTGAAGAGCCTAGTGATAAAATGTCTACATTCTCAGCGGCCTTGGGTACCCTTTCTCTGCAAATAAAATGTCTAAACTGACTGATGCAAGTTTCTTGCAGATGGGAAAGATGCACTGTGCTGACTGATCATAGTCATCGTTTTCTCGGTAGACCCACCTGACCTAGAGTTTATTGTCCCTTTCAGGGTTATTTTAGAGACACAGTGATGTACTATGGCTTTTACACCAATTCTACGATCGGGCACAGGAACGGTGGGGCATCCTACGACATGCAGCTGGCCTACCTCTTCACAATTGGAGCATGTTTGGTCATCTGTTTTTTCAGTTTGCTATTCAGGTATGGAGCGTCTGCATTTCTTGATTCTAAGCTCTGTTTAGATTTAGGTAAAATTCAAGAGTCTCAAAAGCGACCCAGGAAACAGTTTCTCTGCAATTTTGACTTCCTATTGCTGTCTGATCATTCCTGTTTTAAAACACAGACTGGGGCGCCTGGGTGGCTCAGTTGGTTAAGTGACTGCCTTCGGCTCAGGTCATGATCCTGGAGTCCCAGGATCGAGTCCTGCATCGGGCTCCCTGCTCAGCGGGGGGTTTGCTTCTCCCTCTGCCCCTCCCCCCTCTCATGTGCTCTCTCTCTCTCTCTTTCTCATTCTCTCTCTCAAATAAATAAATAAAATCTTTTAAAAAAATTTAAAAAATATATTTAAAAAAGGCCACAGACTGTAAGTTTGGATAAGAAGAGAGGTTTTTGTGTGCTTTCAAAGAAATCGGTCAGTCTGAAAATAAGGTTGGAGTGACCCAACTATTTCTTTTTTTTTTTTTAAAGATTTTATTTATTCGTTTGAGACACAGAGATACAGAGAGAGAGAGAGAGCATGAGCAGGGGGAGAGACAGAGGGAGGAGAAGCAGGCTCCCCGCTGAGTCAGGAGCCCGATGTGGGGCTCGATCCCAGGACCCTGGGATCATGACCTGAGCCGAAGGCAGACGTTTAACCATCTGAGCCACCCAGGCGCCCCGACCCAACTGTTTCTATGACAAGAAGGGCACGGCTGGACAGTTGTCAAAGGGACAACTGTCCAAGAGAAGGTACAGGTGTTCAACCTTTGTCTTCCATAACCATGTACCGCAGGCTGGGTGGCTTAAACACAGAAATGTGTTTTCTCAAGTTCTGGAGGCTGGAAGTCTAAGGTGAAGGTGTTGGTGTGTTGGTTTCTTCCGAAGCCTCCGTCCTTGGCGTATAGACGGCTACCTTCCCACTGTGACTTCACATAGTCTTCCCTCCAGTGCATGTCTGAGTCTTAATCTCCTCTTTTTTTTTTTTTTTTAAGATTTTATTTATTTGACAGAGAGAGACACAGCGAGAGAGGGAACACAAGCAGGGGCAGTGGGAGAGGGAGAAGCAGGCTTCCTGCGGAGCAGAGAGCCTGATGCGGGGCTCGATCCCAGGACCCAGGGATCATGACCTGAGCCGAAGGCAGACGCTTAATGACTGAGCCACCCAGGTGCCCCTTAATCTCCTCTTCTTATAAGGACACCAGTCATATTGGATGAGGGCCCACCTTGATGACCTCATTTTAACAAAATTACCTCTGTAAACACCCTACTTCCAAATTCTGTCGCTTTCTGAGATACTGGGGGTTAGGACTTCAACATACAGACTTTTAGGGAGTACAATTCAGCCCGTAACAACCTCACTTCCAGCACTATAACTCAACAATTAAAATGAGATTTCGTTTTGTTCTATTTTATTGAAACTACGAAATGTTTCTTAAGCTGCTGTTAAGTCAGTGGTGGCAGATTTTGGAGAGGTAGTGAAATTTAATCAGCATTTTTTTACATGTCAGGCTCAGTGCTAAATGCTTCCTAGGCTGATTTCACTGAGTCCTGCTGACGTCGCCGTGATATTAGCGTCTGCCTTTAAAAAGAGCTTGCTGTTCTAACCCCTACATTGCCTCGCGTGGTGGGCTGAACACTACCCCCTGCCTCCCAAAAATGTCAGTCCTAATCCCCAGAACCCGTGAATATGTTACCTTACCTGGCAAAGGGGACTTTGCAGATGTGACTAAATTAAGGATCTTAAGATGGGCCAGTTAATCATCAGGGTCCTTACAAGTGGGAGGCAGGAGGGTCAAAGAGAGGATGGGAGATGCTGCTCTCCTGGCTTTGAAGATGGGAGGGGCCATAAGCCAAGAAGTGCGGGCAGCCTCTAGAAGCTGGAAAAGGCAGGGGAACAGATTTTCCCCTATAGCATCCAGAAGGAACACAGCTCTGCCGACACCTTGAGTTTAGAACCATTTTCTGACTTTTGACTTCCAGTAAGAGAATACATGTGTGTTGTCTTAAGCCACTGAGTGTGGGGCAATTTGGTGCTGCAGCTAACAGAAACTCACACAATTCTCGTAAAAGCTCTGTGAGTGGGTCCTATGATTATCCCCATTATATAGATGTGGAAACCGAGGCTCATAGCAGTGAATACAACAAAGATCCCCCAGGTGGCCATCCAGGATAGTCAGCCAGGCCTGTCGGATCTTGAAGCCAATGCTCTTAACCATTATGTCGGCGCTCGCACTGTTCAGTAGAACCTGGGGCTGGCTCTGCCATGTTGCCTTTCGCTGTTGATGATCGGACTTTCCTTTGTTTAATTCCTGCACTCCCCAGTGCCTGCTCCAATAACTTTTGAGTATTTTGGTTTCTGCCTTCCCCAGCATGGCTAGGTACTTCCGGAACAACTTCATTAACCCCCACATTTACTCCCGAGGAATCGCTAAACTGATTTTCTGCTGGGACTTCACCGTCACTCACGAAAAAGCTGTGAAGCTGAAACAGAAGAATCTTAGCACTGAAATAAGGGTAAGGCGAACTTGCTGTGCACACCTTCCCAGAGCCAACTTCCTTCAGTATGTCTATAACTTTTCTTAAAGTGATAATGATTTTTTTTTGGTGGTCCATGAGTCTGGCAAAAAAAAAAAGAAAGAAAGAAAGAAAAGAAACAAACAAACTAACTGAACCCAAAACACCTAAAAATATTCCTAATGCCCAAGTGCTGGTGATGGTTTAGGGAATGACCCTTTTCACATGCTATGCTGGCTCTGTAGTTGGTACGAGCTTACTGGAGGGTAGTTGAAGGATTTATATCAAAACGTTAAGTGTAAATGCTTCTTGACCTCACAGTTTCAAGTTTAATATTTTTTCCAGTGGTTTTCAACTCAGGACGGTTTTGCCCCTCAGGGGACATAATGGCAATATCTGGAGACTTTTTTGATTGTCACAGTGAGGGTGAGGGGGCTACTGGTGTCTAGTGGGTGGAGGCCGGGATGTTGCTAAACATCCTGCAATACACAGGAAAGTTGTCACAACACAGAAAAAGGGCTGAAAATGTTACTAATGCTGAGGTTGAGAAACCCTGGTCTGTAGAAAAAAACTTATTAAAGAGAAAGGAAAAAAACCCCATAAACAAACAAAAAAAACCAAACCCAGACTCTTAAATACAGAGAACAAACTGGTGGTTGCCAGATGGGAGGTTGTGGGGGGGGGGGGGGGGGGTTGGGGGAAATAGAAAAAAAAAAAGAAGAAAGAGGAAGCAGAATTTATTAGCAAAGGGGCTTTGACAAGAGGTTTGAAGATGCTAACTTCCTTGGTGTAGATACCCAGCCTATTCTTCAAAAAAGAGTTTCATGACTTCAAAGCACTTTCCTCAAGAGCACGGTCCCAATCCTCTAAGATGGAAAAAGTGTTTGATGCCATGATGGGGGTTCTTGGTCCATTTGAGATTTTCCCATGGGTCTCTCATAATCCACATCCAACATGAACTTTCCCCTTTCTTTCTTCTGTGGATCTGGGGTGGGTTTGTGTCCTGAAGTGACAGAGATTCACCCGGAGAGTCTTTGCTAACAGTGGAGAGGGTCCTGTGGGCCAGCTTGACTTCCTTGTGTTTGTAGGAAAACCTGTCAGAAATCCGTCAGGAGAATGTCAAGTTAAGGCTCAATCAGCAGCTGATCCGCTTCTCTGCCCACCTGGCGGCCTGGGTTGTCTCCACTGGAGTGGCGGTTGCCTGCTGCGTAGCTGTTTATTACCTGGCTGAGAACAACTCAGAGGTAACCACAGGGGAGGGAGCCCCAGAGTCCAGAGCACAGAACCAGGTGAAGGGATGGGATGCTGGAGGGAAGAGCAGTGTAGAGCTAGTACTCACAGACTCCATGGCCAGTAGCATTGACATCAGCTGGAACCTTGTGAAAAAAATGCAGAATCTTGGGTCCCTCCCTTGGCCCATGGACTCAGAATCCATCCTTACCATGTCGCCAGGTGATGTGTGTGCACACCTCAGGAGAGCAGCTCTGGGCCAGTGGAGAGATGAGCACTGGGACCACAGACCTGGGATTTGGGGTTTCTTCTTTCCTTATTATATCCCTAATGCTTCCCACTGCCCCCGGCTCTAAGTAGATACTCAGGAAATATTGTGATCTGATGGACTTTTGTGAACGATTTAACCTTTGTTTCTTTTTTGTTGTTGTTGTTATAGCACAACTTATATATTTCAAATGGACAAAAAATTAGTATTGTTTATAGTATCTTAAGATAAATTGCCTTTGAATGGGAGCTTCCTTTCCAGTACTTTGAGGTCTACAAGACGTATCTAGAAAAGGTGCTACTGTGGAAAATGACTGCTTAAATCGAATGGGGGGGAGGGAAGAGGGCCTGTGGTTTCTCTCTTTTTTTTTTAATTTAAAAAAAAAATTTTCAATTTTTAAAAATTTTTTTTTTTTGAGATTTTATTTATTTGTGA